ATAATCTGACATTGGGGCCTCGTTGAGGGTGAAGATACGTCAATAGGAGTACGAGCCTGTATGTGTGCTAATGGGCATTCACGAACTATCACTCGTACCGCCAACCAGCACCTATCAGTGGCCTAAAGGTTACAAGCACATAATCCTTTACTTATCCAAGTAAGATAAGGTACTCTTGTCCTGAAATGTCAATCTTTTCGAATTCTCTCGCAAAGTTCTGTATCCTCCATTTTGACTCGACCAGTTACCCTGATTATGTGCCTGATCGTCTAGTAACAGCGTTTCAAACACTAACGAACGGCGACTTCGCGCATCGTGTAACTCGCCAAAGATATATTTAGTGAGACATGCGTCTGCCTGTGCTTTGGCTATCGCCAATCACCATCGTCTTGGCAAACCAAAGTGCCGATTCCGAGAGGCCGAGAGGCCCAGAGCTTGGACTTGATGATTTTTTTTGACCGCTCTTTTGCGGTTGTCAGGCACTCTATCTTCACGTTTCTCCTGTCAGAACTCAAGTGCGCCAACCGGAATCAAGATATTCGGAAATTAAATTGCATTAAGCGAATATTGACATTGAATTCATACCCACGAGGGCGGACAAGACACTCCGGAGGAGAAACCCCCGTTTTAGATACCAACGGGTCCATCTTATGTCAGTCTTGCATGGGCGGGCGTAAACCGGCAGGTAAAGGCATCGGGCATGGTCCGGTATTTTTCCAAAAACAGTCCCCTCTATCCATCGCTCCTATCAAATGTAGGCGGAGGCCCGTGACACCATGACGTTGAGGAAGAGAAGAAGCAGCGATTTTCCAGAACATCTCGGCGAATACGAGATCCAGCGAGAAGATCATCAGGAGAGGTTATGAGCGGTTCGCTGATGGCTGGCTTGTGGGCTGTTATCCCTGTCTTATCTGAAACGGCGGAGAAATGTGAATTGAAGAAGCGAGATCCCGTGCCCCACACAATGGGCTCTTGTGTTAGTTAGTGAGCGTGTTGGGTTGTTTCTGGATGCATGTAACGGGGCTTAAGCAAGCAGGCGGGGAAAGAGTACGTAAAGTCGTAAGTAGAGTAGGGTCTTCTGGTAAAATCTTCCGACGGATTTCTTACTCCTCCTCTTATTCTCGTGTACCACCACCTACTTTATACTGTGTTCCAGCCCTCTTTTTCTTTTCAGCTTTTTTTCCCTTTTATTCATTCCTTTCCCATAAACCCGTTCTCTTGTTTCAAGCCCAGCAAGCCTAGCTACTCTTTCCACTTCATTAGTCTTTCCGCAGAGCGGGCATGCAAACAGCAATACCCTCATAATAACCAGTACCCACCAATCGCAACCATGGCCGCCGACGAAGAAATCGCCCTCATAATTGTGTTTGTAAACTTCTGCAGCGCAATCTGGAGTTACTTTTGCATCACCGCGTCGCTGGACCGGCGCAATAGAGCCTACGACGTTATCCACGACTCTGAGTTAGCCTGGCATGCATTCTGGTCCTCTTGTCAGGTATGGTTTCTTGATCTCTTTTTTACTCACTCCTGATATGAGCCAATAATCCTAATACGCCATGATAAAACATGTAGACCTTTGCAATCCTCGTCTCAATAACCAATGTCGCCCTCGTCATCTACGTCACAATCCGTACTTTTGGATCCTTCATGGACAGGCTCAAGAGCACACAAGGCATCTCTCGCAAGGCCGTCATTGGCTTCTGTGGTGTTGCTGCGCTGCTTTTGCTACTGCCGGCCAGCTTTATTCCGTATAACCTCACGAGAATCAATACCGATAGGCTCGATGAGAATATTTTCATCCACTGTGAGTTTTCCTTTTTTTTCGTTTATTTTTTCTTCATTGCTTTGTTTGTGCCGCATTCTGTGTTCGTTGCAAGGATGATCAGGTTCTAATGGTTGCGAAGGGGATGGTTAGGTACGGTTAGGAGGGAGGTTGTATCCCGGGAACGGGGCCGCCCGTTGAGGTGGGTTGGTAGAAACTAGCTAGGAGTGGAGTGGAGTGCCTAGTGGTGGTATGGACGGTCCTAACCCGGCACTTCTTGCCAAGACAAAACACTCTATCTGGGACCCGTAAGTCTGAGGGCTCGCTTTTTGCGTCACCACTACTGCCTTTTTCGCCTTTTTTTTGCTTTTTGTTGTGTGTGATGGCATGTTATTTGTTCCGAGCGGCTTGCCGGCGGCCGGAGGGGCTTCTTTCCGAGAGTTGGCCCTCGGTGTTTTTTGGTGGTGGTGGTGGTGGGGAGGTTGTTTGAATTGAGTGCGTGCGGGTTTCATCATGGGATGGGGGGCGTTTTGTGTTTTTGTTTTGGAGTCACTCGTTGGGGGGTTTTGTTTTGCTTTGATTTTGTTTCTTCTGTTGGGGTTGGGCGCGCGGACAATTTTTTCTCTTCTCTTTTCAAAAAGGTGTTTTCATAGTAGGCAGGGGATTAATATCGATGCATGTATCGCTTTGAATACAGACTGCAGCAGGTGTAACGCGCGGTTCAATCAATGAATCAATAAACGGTGAGATGCGATACGATACGATCAGATTAGATTGTGATGGTGGTATGGTGGACAGGAGGTGTGTCACGTCACGTCACGTCACTCGAGACCGAGGCTCATTGCTCGGGGAGCCCCGGACATGGCAGGACAGGCCGGGCGAAAAACCGGTCATTTCCAGTTGTCGTGTAATCATTATATACACATCATGAGCTGCGCAACAGCAGCATCAGGGCATAATTACTGATCATGGCCAACTAGTAATTGTAATTGTAATAATTTCATTTCCTGCTCCGCTATGGCAGTAATTTAAGTCGCCAGGTTGGAGGGAGCCTTGGAGGCAATGATATGTTGCTTCTTGGTAGTCTTTGCTCCTCTACACATATTTATATACCACGGACCTGGGTGGAGATTCGTCTGTGCTGGATTATCTTGGTGCGTGGTGGGTGATAAAATGATATATAACCAGCGCACAATTGCCGACCTTCTGGGCGAGTAGCGGTAAGTGCTCGAATGTAATCCAACACTGTGTTGGTAGCACTGCCAATTCTGCGGCGGTGCTGGTTCAAGAAGTACTAGGACCTGTATTTGCATCTGTATCTGCTGCGGCAGGAACTAACGTCTCTTCTCCCTGCGGCGGATTCCTTTGAGGATATAGAGAATGCTTATATCTTTCCTGTTTATGATGAGTCCGTTGTCATTTATACGCCGTTATTTATTATAGCTGGTGTTTCTATCTACTGCGACTCTCTTCTTTCGTTTTTTTTTTTACTGTTACAAGACGGCTAGGTTAAGGCTCGAACTCAGCGTTCGATATCCCGAGCCTTTTCCTCCGACTACATGTATTCACTTTGTCTTCTATAAAATCTAGGCTTTCGATACAGCGAGCACTTCTCTAAGGAGATAATATATAACCAATCAATATTCAGGACTAGCTACATATATTCGTTAGTTACATGTATTCCATGTAGTGCAAAGTGGTCTTAGGAACGACGTCTACAATCTAGCCTAACTAAACGTGTCACCTTTATAAGTATAAGTACATAGCTTTCATCCTCCTTCGTAACAGAACCATACATCCTATTTCCTATTGAGTCCCTTCCTACATGTCATACGCACACCACCTCTAGTGTTCTCCATGAGACAAGACCGGCACATTTGACAAGACGAGACAAAATTGAGCCTTGCGATTGGTCTCGTCTCGAACGGTGTCGTTGAGAGCGCTGAGGTCCACCTCCAGAAAGCAAGATTAATCTAGCTATTTAAAGTTTGACTTTACCACGACTTTGTCTTGAGCCCGGGATTATGTTTCCTATATGGTGCGCCTGTTGCTCCGCAGCTGGCAAGCGTAGTATCCAGAGCTCGAGACGCGCGCGCTTTCACCAACTAATCGCAACTGCAACCGCAAGTACAAGTGCAACTGTTGGTAAGTAACTCCCCTCACAACCCTTGTCGCTGGTATGGTTGGTGGCTAAATCAAACACTTCTTTCTTTTGTTCCAGGACTAGTCCAAGATATATATCTGCGCAATACATATCTTGTCCAGCATCAATAACTCCGGCGCACTTATCGGGTAGATAAGCGCGCTCCATCCAACGGCGCCGATGGCATAAATATCGGCATCCCTTCGTGATGGACACAGTTTTAACGAGAAACAGTATACTCCACTACCTTTATAGAAATTTTGCGTGACAAGTGGGTCCATCTTGCACCACCAGCCGACATTTGTAGTATAATTTGTATGGTGAGCCACCAATCGCCACATATCCTGAAAACGCACGAAGGGATACGCTCACATCTCAATTGGATACCGCGGTTAGTACTTGCTAGTAGTCACTACTTCCATGGAATGTCTCAGCTAAATGTCAATCAATGTAGCTGCAGTACCGGGTAAATGCATAAATAAAGAGCCTCCACAGAACCATCTCCAAAGCTTCACGGACCCAAGTTATGTCTCAATACTGCAAGCCCGCCTTGCATGCTACAGTTGTCCAAAGCCGGTTCTGCAGAATTGTCGCTAATCCCGACCCGTGGTCTTGCCGTGCTGGTAGGTATTCGAGCCAACCTGGCCTCCGCAAAAAAAGTGCAGATATGATATCGGATCGGAGATATAATTTGCAAGTGCAAAAACCCGAGTGACAGCGCACTAGTTACATAACGGGCCTAAAAATATCAGCATACACAGATACACACAACCGCATGTATATCTCCATGCTGGTTCTCCAGGCGCAGAATATAGATTACCATGATATAAGCTGTTTTTCGTCTCACCAAGGCTGGCCAGACAGAGCCTTGTTAACAACTTTCTCTATGAACCGAGGCTTCGACCTGGCAGCCAGCTAGTTGGGTTAGAGCTTCGAAAGAATCGAGCAGAACAAAACACCACGCCTCGGAAACGTCCTCCGACACCGTCACCATTAGTACGCAACTACCCCGCTAATTTACATATAAGTCCTCTCTCTCCGCCCCCCCCCACCCAGGCCCCACAGCCAACCCCCACCACAACAAGCAGCATAACAATGCCGCTCCTCGCCCTCCCCAACGAGCTTCTCTACCAAATTACCTCCTACCTTCCCCTCTCCTCCCACACCGCCCTTCAACGCACAAACCACGCCCTCCACAACCGCCTCTCTGGCTTGACACTCGACCGCTTCATCACCGCTACGCGCCGCTACCCGCGCGGCCTCTCCGCACCCCACTACGGGGCGGAAAAAAACAATATCCCCCTCCTCGCCACCGCCCTCAAGAAGGGCCTCCTCATCGCCCCGGACCCCGCAAACGTCGAGACGCCGCTGCACCTCGCCGCGTTCCAGGGCCATGTCGACGCCGTGCGTGTCCTGCTCGACTATGGGGTCGAGGTTGACCCCCAGGACTCCAAGCGCGGACGCACCCCGCTACATCTGGCGGTACAGAGAGCGCATCTACCGGTTATAAGGATGCTGCTGGAGCGCGGGGCGAGCGTGAAGGTGGTGGACAGCGCGGGGAGGGGCGCGATGGGCTTCTGGCTGACGATTGATACGTCATTTTGGAGGGTGACGTGCACGCAGACGGCGGAGGTGTTTGTGGCGCTGCTGGAGCGGGGAGCGAAGGTTGATGGTGCTGGGGGCGGTGTTGGGACGGCGAATCTGGGGGTTGCGGTGAGGTATCGTGTGATGACCGTGAAGAGGGAGGTGTTGCAGCTGTTGAAAGAGAGGAGGGGACAGCGGGGTATAGACGCTGTGGTGAAGATGTTGCAGAAAAAGTGGATCATAACGGCGAGCGAGTTTGAGTCTTATGAGACACTGGGGGAGGTGATTTTTGAGCGGATACCGATAGCGGTACAGAGGGCCGAGTTAAATGGCGGGCCGCTGCCTAAGATTAAGAAGAAGGAGTTGTATGTTGGGCCGATGTCAACAGCGGCGCAGGTGGCCGAGTCAGATGGTGGGCCGCTGCCTAAGCTTAAGAAGAAGGGGGCCTGGGGCCTGAAGGTTGGCTCCATCGGCAAGGGGATCATGGCCCGCAAGGAGAGGCCTGGGCCAGGGCCTGGACCCAGCCCCCGAAAACTCAAGGTTGCAATCCGTGTCAACGGGAAGGGCGTAAGGCTGTTTAAACGCACTGATCCGCCAAAAAGGTCACGGGGAGGTTGACCAGCGCCCCCGACCCCCGTCCAATAACAATAAAAAGAAGATTAAAAAAAAAGGAATGGCGTTGATTGGCGTATGGGGTTCTTTTTGCGGGCTGTAATTTTGCGCAGGCTATTTATTAAGAGGTAATTCATTAATTGGACAGGCTGGACAGATGGGAAAAGAATTCATGTATGTACTTACTTGACCGAGACTTGATGGTTGCACGAAACACATGCTCTCTGTAAACAATTGCGTGTTGAGTTTCTGTCCCAGTTTCACGGTCACAGACCATCACTCGCATCAATAACCCTAACCCACACTACCAATCTTGACAAAATGCATCATCACAAACACATACAAGTGCTCAAATTACCAAGAATTAGAAGAAAAAAGCCCAATCGGCGTCTAGATACATACATACACAATCTACGCACACACACACACACACAAAAGAAAACAACCCCTTAGATCTTACTCCCCCTCGCCGTCTCCACAACCCACTCGCGCACAGCCTCCACAAGCGCCTCCACATCGTCCACCGTGTTGCCAGCATGCACGCAGATCCGCACCCGCTCCGTCCCCGCCGGCACCGTCGGAAACACAATGGGGCGCGCCACGAGCCCGCGCTTCTGCAGGTGGGCCGCGAGGGCGCGCGGGTGCGGCGTGAACAGCGCGAGGATGGGCGTGGGGCGCACGGGCGGCAGCGTGAGCGTCTGCGGCGACGGCGGCAGTGACGAGAGGCGCTGGTGCAGCAGCAGGGTGAGGGTGTGCAGGCGCGACTGCAGGGCGGCGGCGTGCGCGGTGCGCAGGAGGGTGTAGGCGGCGCTGATGGCGGCGAGGGCGGGGAAGGAGAGCGCCGTGGTGTAGATGAGCGGGCGGGCGTAGTTGATGAGGTACTCGCGCGTTATTGCGTCCGTCAGGATGATGGCTGGCGGTGTATATCAGCGGGGTTACTATCTCCAGCAACAACATCAAGAATATCGAGGGACCCACCGCCATTACAAGCAAGCGCCTTCCCAAACGTATGCAGCCTCGCCCACACCCTCTCCTCCACCCCCAGCATGGCCACCAGCCCCCTCCCCCCCGGGCCCAGCACCCCCGTCGCATGCGCCTCATCCACCACGAACAGCGCCCCGCGCTCCAGCAGCTCGTCGGCGGCGTCCAGCAGCTCCGCGAGCGGCGCCACGTCCCCGTCCATCGAGTACAGGCTCTCGACGGCCACAAAGACGTTGCGGCCGTCGCGCGGGATGGCGGCCAGGGCGCGGCGGAACGCGGCGAGGTCGTTGTGGGCGAAGGCGGTGTGCGCGGCGGCGCGGGAGGAGCGCAGGCCCTCGTGGACGCTGGCGTGGATGAGGGCGTCGTGGACGACGGTGTCGCCGGGCTGCGGGACGCAGGCGAAGAGGGCGGCGTTGGCGTCGAAGCCGGAGGTGAAGAGGAGGCCGGCGGGGGCGCTGTGGTGGCGCGCGATGGAGGCCTCGAGCGCGCAGGCGTAGGGCGTGTTTCCGTCGAGGAGGCGGGAGCCGCCGGAGCCGAGGGGGTGGGTTGGGTGCGTGGACAGCTCGGCGAGGAGGAGGCGGCGGAGGTGCGGGGAGCGCGAGAGGGAGAGGAAGTCGTTGGAGGAGAAGTCGGTGGCGGCGGGGGGCGGGAGGGAGAGCGTGCGCAGGCGGGAGAGGGCGGCGCGGGTGGTGAGGGCTTGGGAGAGGGCGGCGGTGAGGGCGGGCTTGGGGTCTTTGGGGTTGGGGTCTTTGGGCTTGGGGTCTTTGGGCTTGGGGTCTTTGGGCTTGGGGTCTTTGGGCATGGTGGAATTGGTCAATCGGGGATTGGGGATTGGCGATCGGGGATTGGGATTGGGGATTGGGAGGAGGGGCCTGGTGGAATTGATCAATCGGGGATTGGGGATTGGCGATCGGGGCTCTGGCAATGGAGAGAGGGGATGGCGGTTTGTGTGGGAAACGGATGTAGCATTTTGTTTCCCCTCAATTGCACCATGGTGTGTGTTTCTTTTGCCGGACCCCTGTAATTCACTCGCGCATCCCCGATGCCCAAGGCCTCCAGTCCAAGCGCAGAGGAGACCAGTGCGCCACACCACACACCAAGGACAAGATTCTCGTGAGGCCCCGCCTCTGCGAATGGACGAGCCCCCCAATACTGCTACTGCTACTACTGCTATTACTACCACCACTACTGCTACTACCACCACCACCACCACCGCCACCATGCCCGCCCCCCTCGGCTCGCACCTCACCCGCACCCTGCGCGCCTTCCAGATCTACGGCGCAAACACAAACGTCGGCAAGACAATCTTCTCGACGATCCTCGCAAAGGCCAGCCGGCGGCACTTCCCGGCCGAGCACGTCTTCTACCTCAAGCCCGTGTCCACGGGCGCCCCGGAAGACGCGGACGACGGCCATGTGGCCCGCTTCGCGGCCGCGGAGGGCGTGCGCGCAGAGTGCCTGCTGCAGTACAGCGACCCGGTCAGCCCGCATCTGGTCGCTGTCGAGGTGGGGATTGCAGTTCTTTTTTTTCTTTTCTTTTCGCGTTGGATTGATCATTGACCGCTGATCGCTGATCTGCCGTGCTAGCCGCCCACGGACGAATCATTGCTCTCGACGATCCGCAGCCGCATCGCAGCCTACCGCACGCCAACGCCGTCAACGCTGCTCCTCGAAACCGCCGGCGGCGTGCACTCGCCCACGCTGTCGGGCGCCTCGCAGGCCGACCTCTACCGCCCGCTGCGGCTGCCCGTGCTGCTCGTCGCCGACGCGCGCCTCGGCGGCATCTCGGCGTCCATCGCGGCGTTCGAGTGCCTGCACATGCGCGGCTACGACGTCGAGGGCGTGCTGCTGTTCGCCGACGCGTACTACCGCAACGACGGGTATCTGCGGCGGTATTTCGCGAGGCGCGGGATCAGCACTGTTGTTGTGCCTGCGCCGCCGCCGCCGCCGCCCCGGGAGGAGGAGGAGGGCGACCAAGACCGCGAGGCGATGCAGAGCTACTATGAAGCGCGGTGCGGCGACGCGGCCGTGCGCGAGATGCTGCTCGGCCTCAAGCGCGGCCACGACCGCCGCATCGAGAAGCTGGCGGGGATGGCGGACGAGGCCGTGGGCACGATCTGGTACCCGTTCACGCAGCACCGGGGGCTCGCCGCGGGCGCCGTCGCGGCCATCGATTCTGCGCACGGCGACTTCTTCCAGACATACGCCGGCGGCGGGGAGGAGGATGATGCCCTGCTGGGCGCGACGTTCGACGGGTCTGCGTCGTGGTGGACGCAGGGGCTCGGCCACGCGAATCCTGAGCTGACGCTGGCCGCGGCGTATGCGGCCGGCCGCTACGGGCATGTCATGTTTGCGAACGCGGTGCATGAGCCCGGGCTTGAGCTGGCAAAGACGCTGCTGGCGGGGCTCTCGGGGCCGGGGGGGAGGATGGCGAGGGTGTTTTATTCGGACAATGGCAGCACGGGGTGCGAGGTTGCCGTCAAGATGGGGCTGAGGGCGTCGCGCGCCCGGTATGGGTGGGACCACAGGCAGCGGGAGGCGGGGGTCATTGGGCTCAAGGGCAGCTACCACGGCGATACGATCGGCGTGATGGACTGTGCGGAGCCGGGCGTGTACAATGGCGAGGCGGAATGGTACCGTGGGAGGGGCCACTGGTTCGATTTCCCAAAGGTGGGCATGAAGAGGGGCCGCTGGACCATTGAGGTGCCCGAAGAGATGCGGGCCGATCTGGGACCGGACGTGGCAATGGCGAGCCTGAGCGACATCTTCGACCTCCAGCACAGAACCGCCTCGGAGCTGGGGAAAAGCTACCAGAAACACATCCTCAAGACGCTGGAGCGCCTCACGCAAGCCGAGGGCCGCCGCTTCGGCGCAGCAATCATCGAGCCCCTCGTCCTCGGCGCCGGCGGCATGCTCTTCTGCGACCCGCTCTTCCAACACACGCTGGTCGCCACCATCCGCGGCCACCCCGGCCTCTTCTCCCCCGCCGCCGCCGCCCCAGCAGACAGCAACGCCTGGTCCGGGCTGCCCGTCATCTTCGACGAGGTCTTCACAGGCATGTACCGCCTGGGGCGGCTCAGCGCGGCGTCGTTCCTGCAGACCGAGGCCGACATCAGCGTCCATGCCAAGCTGCTGACGGGCGGGCTGCTGCCGCTGTGCGCGACGCTGGCGAGCGAGAGTGTTTTTGGCGCGTTCCTGGGCGGCGAGAAGAAGGACGCGCTGCTGCATGGGCATAGCTATACGGCGCATGCGGTCGGGTGCAGCGTTGCGAGGGAGAGCGTGCGGATGTTGGTGGGCATGGATGAGCGCGGGGACTGGGCGGCGGCGAAGGCGGATTGGAGGCAGGAGGGGGAGGAGGTGGGGGAGGTGGGGGAGGTTTGGAGTGTGTGGACGAGGGCGTTTGTGGAGAGGGTGTCGTTCATAGGGGAGGTGGAGAGTGTGTGGGCGCTGGGGAGCGTCCTGGCTGTAAATCTGAGGGCGGGTGATAATGCGGGTTTGTTCCCCCCCCCCCCCCTGTGTTGGTGGTTGGTTGTGGCTGTGCTGACGTTTTGGGAAGGATACTCGTCGGATGCGGCGCAGGGGTTCCTGCAGAAGATGGGCTCTAGGGACTCGAGGGAGTGGAACGTCCATGCGAGGGCGCTGGGTAACGTGGTTTACATCATGGCGAGCCAGACGACGGGGGCGAAGACGGTCGAGGTGATGCAGGAGGAGATCCTGAAAGCTCTTGGGGCTTGATGGGGGCTGTATGTAGCTCTCGGTGGTGATGTTCCGCCGGGTTTGAAACTGGAGAGCTTTGTTTGTAATTTGCTTAGTTGAACCTCTGTAGCAATGGGCAAGAGCGGGTAGTACTAGTTCTTCCAATGGGCTGAAATTAAACTCAATTGGTGAAAGCCAGAGAGATGGGGGGGGGGGGGGATCGATACCTTGACGGACAGAAAAAAAAATCAAAGACCGAGTTCTACCATAGGCACATCAAAACTGTGCTGCTCCATGTCCTCTACGGTGGCAAAGAGCCCTGAAATCAAATGCAGTCCACAGGGGCTGAGATGTTTTACGGCAGCCCGAGTTAACGCCTCGATGCTAATACAGTATGTAGTGCTATAAGAGTGGAGATAAACGACCAGCAGCAACTTTTCGATTGAGAAGGATTGAACTAATAGATAGTATCGTAAACTGTTATCACGTTGCGGACCGGTTTTTTTTTTAGACGTTCGAGTGATAATCCATGACGGTGTGCGTAATTCGATGATCCGAAACGAGGGATGCATTCAATATGCTAGGGCGTTTTTTTTAGGCTATTGGTGTTCACGACCTCTCTATCGGAGGTCTTGTTCAGATGCAGGATATGAGAGTGGCGGCGACTATATCCAGCTGTGGGTGCCGCAGCGTAGTTTTATAGGTAGGCCCCAAGAAACCAACACATACATATATACATCATACAAGAGCGGGTTCGTGGTAGGATTGTGACTTGCAGGGTTAGGTGTCCCCCTAGCTAGCTAGCTCACTCCGTTAAGTATTACTTCCCGGCCTTTGACAGTTGTGTGGGGTGAGGGGCGAATGGTCACAGCATTACTTTTTTGTGTATTTATTGCCCCCCCCCCCCCCCCCCTTTTTTTTTTGAGGGGCCTGAGGGCCCTTAGTGGGGTGGGGGGTATGTGTGATATCGATCAGAGCTCTCTCTGGCCGGCCTACAATCGCAGATTGAACCATCTCAGCTTCTCGCTCGTTATTTGGCCAATTAGTCTCCCCCCCCCCCCCCATGGTCAGGGCCGGATGTAGGAAATTAGTTACGGTTAGCGAAACTTTTTTTTCAGACCATGTTCCTTTGTAATGTAGTAGGTGCTGCTTTAATATTGTAACCGAGTCCAGCCACGTGATCGCTGCAATTCACGTGTTAAAACCACCCCAAGTATTCGAATAACCTGCACCACAGCAGCGTAGGTATGGATATACGTACGTTGGAAGAAGGAACGAAACTACATATCGCTGAATTCGTCTGCCGAAAACTCTGCCCGCCCAGCCCCTGAAGTTGGTGTGGTCTTGGATCTCCAATATGGTGGCATAGTATACCGGTAAGTATTACCCCCCCCCCCCTCCTTTCTCGAATGAAATGAGATGAGAAGTACATGTATCTCAAACCTAAAGGTAAGCATGGCTGACCGGAAAACACACATAATACACTCATCCAAGAACACCAATTGCCCCCCCCCCAAGGGTTATCAGCGGCGCTACATCTCCCGGCCAAGCAGGTGAGTAAGCCTACGAACACCCACAACAACAGCACCCACCCGAGACACATCAGCCGTAACATCGATACCCACACATCCCCAACGCGACCCTCCCAAAGAAAAGGAGCTAGCTAGTTGTAGGTTCCGCCCGACGCCAAACCGCAGACCCGGATCGAATCATGATCGAGTGATAGGCCATGATCCGTAGCTAGCTAGCGTCTTGAGCAGCCCAACCCTAAAAGCCCCATTATACACTCGATGTTTCTCGGGCCATGTCTTCCTGGCTGGCAACCCACTACGCCGTGTAGTGTTGGCCTGGTTGGTGTTGATTCGGGTTCCCTGCACGTATGTACGGCCTTGAAGGAAGGTTAGGTGCGCTGTACTACATAGCTTTGGTACCGTGCGGGACTCAAGTTCTACAAGTTTGGGATAACCGTAGAAACGGGGCCCCGGGGGGGAGGGGGGGCGATTCTGAGAAGGATAGCGATTGCGAGTGATAGTCCGTGATCCAGGTGGGCTACGTACGTTCATGATATTCATTTCTATAAAAAAAAAACAGAAACAAGAACCAAAAAAAACATCCACAAAAAGCCAGTAAATCATCAGTCATTTACCCCGCCAAGCCCCTCCCCCCCCCCTCAAAACCCACCAGCCTACATGCCATTCCCCTGCAGCAGTCCCCTCGCCACGCCCACCACCTCGTTATCGCCCAGGTCCATCTCCGGCTCCTCAATCTTGCGCTCCAGCACCCTCTCCAGCATACCCCTTAGCTGCGCCACCAGCGTGCCGATGCGGCCCCACCCGCGCAGCCGCAGCCAGCCATCGACGGTGATGCCGCGGCCCATGGTGTCGACGGCGAGGTCGCCGCCAAAGAGGAGGAGCGAGTAGGCGTTGATTGCTAATTCCACCACGCACACTGTTAGCCAGTCACTCGAAAAGAAGAAGCAGAGGTTGGAGGGGGATGAAGGAAGACTCACGGGTACACTCCCTCAAATACACCTTCCCCTCGGCCCCACCCGTGCCCATCTTCGTGCAGAACCCCAAGAACTGATCCCTCTCCCACGCCGTCACCGCAAACATCGTGCTGCCGGGGTGCACAAACACCCTCCCCGCATCCTCCGTATAGAACCTAATCATCCGCCCCTCGGGGTCCAGCGCCACCGCGCCCACCGCGCGGCTCGCAAACCGCGTCTCGGGCACCACCACCCGCGCAACGCACGGCACAAACGCGCCCGCCACCAGCCCCCGCAGCAGCGCCGTGTTGCCGCCATGCCGATTAAACCCCCCGCCCCCCGCCCCCATCCCGGGCGCGTACCCGAGCGGCAGAAACCCAATCTCCTTCAGCGCATCCAGATACTGCCGCCCGTTCGACGCGATGTCCAGCAGCGCGTGGTGGCTGAGGAAGTTCTCGTCGCACCACTTGCGCAGCTCGCGGATCCCCAGACTGCTCCGCAGCTCCGCCCACTTCTCAAACGCGCGCAGGTCAGCAACCAAGTCGCCGGCCGCCGGCGACCCCGCGAACGCCGCGCGGGCGGCCTTCGCAGCCTCGCGGTGCTCGGCCGGCGCCACGAACGGCGACCGCGTCGTCACAATACTAGCAATCGCCACCGTGGCGTCCAGGCAGCCGAACGTCGCGCCGTACACCATGAGCTTGCTGCAGCGCAGGTCGGCCGGTATCATGGCCATGTGCTTTCCGAGGGCTGTGAGCGACCCGTCGCGCAGCGCGCCCATGCGCTCCAGGAGGTGCAGGGCGCCGTCGACGGCGAGGGTGGCGGGCGGGGAGAGCGCGGAGCCGAGGAAGGACTGCACGTCGGAGACCCCCATGTGTTTCACGCCTAGACAGGTCTGTTCCAGCGGGACGCGCAGCAGCTCGGGCTCGGGGCGGTCGGGCATCTTGGATTCGGCGTTGCGCGTGTACAGCTTGTAACAGGAGCCGGCGGCGACACGGCCGGCGCGGCCGCGCCGCTGTTTGCAGGCGGCCTTGGAGGCCCAGGTTTCGAGGAGCTTGACGAGGTTGTTGGATGGGTCGTAGGAGGTTTCTTTGACGCGGCCAGTGTCGATGACGGCCACGACGTCCTCGATGGTGATGGATGTCTCGGCGACGTTGGTGGCGGCGATGACTTTTCGTTTTCCGGGCGGAGGAGGGTGGAAGACGCGGCGCTGCTCGGCGGGGAGGAGCGATGCGTGTAGCGGGAGGGCGTGGAAGCGGTACGAGCCGTCGGGGACGTATTTGATCGCGTCGATGCAGCGCTGGATCTCCATTGTCCCTAGTACATGCAGTAGCGATCATTGGTTAGCAACCCGAGTGATATTCCATGACCACGCACAGAAGGGGAGGGAAGGGGAAATGACCAACCAGGCAAGAAAATAAGGATCGCGCCATCGTCGACGCCGAGCTCCTCGTCGATGTGCGCGACGGTGGCGGCAATCAGGTTGTAGTTGATGCGGTCGCCGAGCCCGCGGATGATGTTCCCAACGCCCGGGTCGATGCCGCGGAGGTCTTCTGCGCTGACTGCGTTCTTTGAGCCACCGCCGCCGCCGCCGCCGCCGCCTCCTCCCTGCGCGGACGGAAGCATGCGGCCGCCGGCGTCGAAGCGCGTCTTGACAATGACCTGGTCGAGATAGAAGTCCTGCACGGGGTACGTGCGGCCCTGGATCTCGACGCGCCGCACCTTCTCGGCCCCGCCAAAGTAGTCTGCAAAGACGTCTGCGTCCAGCGTGGCGCTCATCAGCACCACGCGCAGGTCCTGCCGCACAGCCAGCATGCGCTTCAGCAGGATGAGCAGGAAGTCCGTGTCGAGCGACCGCTCGTGCACCTCGTCGACAACAACATGCGACACGTCCTCGAGCTTATCGCCCATCTGCAGCCGCCGCAGCAGCACGCCCGTCGTCACAAACGTGATCTTCGTGACGCCCTGCTTCTGCCTTGACTCGCCGCGAATGGCATACCCAATCTCGTCGCCGACAGTCCCGCAGCGCTCCTCCGCGACCCGGTCTGCCAGGCCCAAGGCGGAGATTCGCCGCGGCTGCGTGCAGATGATGTTGGCGGCGCGCCCAAGCTTGCGCAGGATCATGTCGTCGAGGATGAACTGCACGGACTGCGTGCTCTTGCCGCTGCCCGTCTCACCGGAGATGATGGTCACCTGCGCGCCGTCGACGGCGGCGATGATGTCCTCCTGCAGGTTCCAGGCGGGGAGGCGCTTGCGCGCCTCGATGCGCATCTGCTGCATGGGGGTCTCCCAGCGCGCGGCGCGCGCCTCGAAGAGGCGCATGGACTCGGGGTGGTTGGGCGTCCAGTCGATTGGCGGTCTGGGCCGGCGCTTCTTTGGGCGGCTTCCGCCGACGCGGAGGGTTGGCTCTGGGCCAGTCTCGCCGGCCGACACGGCGCCGGCGACGTCCCGAAGGCGGCCGGGGTTCTCGAGGATGCGGGCGAACTCGGACTCGAGCCAGTCGACGAGCGAGAAGACCATCATCTCGCCGCGGAGGCTCTCGGCGAAGGTGGCCGTCTGCCGGATGATGCTGAGCTTGATGTATGCGGGGAGGCCGGGCACGGCGGCGTCGTTCTTCTCCTCGAGCAGCGAGATCACGGGGATGGTGTGCGGGTACTCGCCGTTGAGCCCGCGCGCCGTGGGCTTGCGCAGGTCGAGCGAGATGACCGACTTTGTGTGTTCGCGCAGCTCGAGGCGCACGCGGAAGCGGGTGTCGGAGATGCGGGTGTAGCGGTCGGCCCAGATGGCCTCCAGCGACGTCTGCTCCTCGCGCCACAGGTCCACCACCGGGTCGTCGAACGAGATGAGATCCTCCTCCTCCTCCTCCTCCGCCTGCGGCGGGCCACCGTCCGCGCCCAAGTTGTCCTCGCCGTCGCCGTGCAGCAGGATCTGCATGAGCACCTCCGCCGCGCGGGCCTCGTCGCTGCCGACCCGCAGCAGCACGTCCCGGCACAGGTCCATGCTGTACCCGTTCGCGCACAGCCGCTTCGCCGGATACTCCAGGTCCGTCTGCAGCGTCACGCCCGTCGTATAGTTGCCGAGCAGGAACCGCTCCGGCAGGTCGTCCTCCGGCACATGCACCAGCAGCCACTCCAGCGCCTCCTCGCGGTCCTTCGTAAACCCGCACGCCTCCTCAGCATGCACCTTCCTGAACCCCAGCCCCGCCAGCTCGGCGACAGCAGCATCGCGCGCAGCAGCAGGCATCACGATCCCCGCGGGGTTCCAGACGTGGTGCCGGCGCACCAGCGACTCCACGGCACGCCGGTTGACGGCCGACATATCGACGACCGGGACATTGTCCCATCCGCGGGACGGTGGCTTCGGCTCCGACTTCTGACTTGCGCCGGGGGTGCCGCCGGAGGCGGCAGCGACGCGCGCAGCCTTTGCGAGCGCAGCGTCGTGCTCGCGCTTGGTGAGGAAGGGGTCGGCCTCGTACATCCATGCGTGCTTCTTCTCGAACCATGCCTTCTTGACGTCATCGAAGGTGGCCCAGTAGGTGCGGTGGGACGGCGGCAGCATCAGGTGGATGTTGCGCATGCTGGAGACGCGGTGCAGCGCGTAGGTTGCGGTGTAGTGGCGGGCCTCGAGCTGCGTGGGCTTGTGCGGCGGGGGGTCGAGCGGGAGGCCGTTGGGGAGCTCGGTGGGCGGGCGGAAGTGCAGTGTTTCGATGGCGAGGGTCTTGGGGTTTTTGCACCGGATGTAGACGGTGGAGATGAAGCCGAGGTTGCCTTCTTTTCTCTATGCGGGCTTTTGGTCAGTGGGCGTGCGCGGGGACATGTATATATATCTAGAACTGGGAATAGCATCGTAGAGACAGAGAGAGGGGAGGGAGAGTCGAACAATGACATATTCGGGATTCTGCCACCCGTTCTTGATGCACAGCTCGTAGAACAGCGTCTGCGGGAGCTTCCCGGTCCACGACTTGCCCCCAATGATCTCGTGCGGGGTGAGTGGCTTCTTGTCCTCTGCCTGTGCTGCTGCTGCTGCTGCTGCTTCCTCTGAGGGCGGGGTGTTGGGCGCGCTGGACTTCTTCTTGCCCTGGTTTGCGCCGGGCTTGAGGCGGGGCATTGTTCTGGGGTTAATTGGGAGGGGAATGGGTCGGTGGGTGAGTGAGTGAGTTTGAGTGAGAGCGGGTGCTTGCGTTCTCGAGATGTGAATCTGTGAATCCGTGAATCTGTGAGTCTGTGAATGGGACTGTGGATGTGTCTGTCTGGCTGTCTGTCTGTCTGTCTGGGCCTGTGAGTGCTTGCCTTAACTTCTTGCATGTGCGGCAGACGGTGTCAGAGTTACTGAGCTGCGGGTAACTGCAATCCCTGTCAGTGGCGCCCGCCAAGCCCTGCGGCTCGAGACGAATTCTTCAGAGGAAAAAGCTTGGGTTCCTGCAGTTCTTCACTTCTACTCCAACGACAACCTCAACACCAACACCACCACCAAATATCACAATCCCCAATTTATATACACAATGCCTAACAAGAAGCGCCGCAACAAGAACGCCCCCTCCCTCGAGTAATTCCCCTCCCCCATCTGTCTGCAAACACCCCACTAACCCCCCCCCCCCCTTCTCTCCAGCTTCGAGCTCCCCCCCACCACCCTCGCCAAAACCACCAACCTCTCAACCACCAAGTCGCGCCTCCGCGCCAAGCGCAACCGCCGCGCCACAAACACCTTCGAGTCCCAAGACGACACGCCCAAAGCCTTCACGCGCCTGCTCGCCTTCGCCGCCGGCACCCGCCGCCTCCCCAAGGGCCCCGACAACGGCCGGCCGCCCCCCTCCTCCTCCTCCTCCTCCTCCTCCAAGAAACGCAAGACAGCAGATGCAGACCCCAAGGAGGCGAAAGAGCAGAAGATGAAGGACGCGGCGGAGCAGCTCACGATACAGCCCGGTGAGTCACTGCGCGAGTTTAATCGCCGCGTGGACGCCTCACTGCCCGTGGACCTGAAGGTTGCGCGGGAGCCGCGGAAGCCGAAGGCGAAGAAGGCGGAGGCGGCTAAGGCTGCGCCTGCCCAGGAGCTGGAGGAGGAGGGCGACTATAGTGATGGTGAGGGGGGTGGGAGGAGGAAGCGGCGGAGGGCGGCGTCGCCGGATCCGTGGGCGGTGCTGGCGAGTAAGAGGGAGGCGCCAAAGTTTGGGGATGTTGCGCCGGCGCCGCCGAGTCTGGCGAGGCCGAGGGAGGTGCTGCATAGTAGGGGGATTGTGGATGTGGAGGGGGTGCCGAAGAGTGCGGGGAGCAGGGCGCGGAGGGAGGGGCTCGCCGTGGAGAGGAAGGGCGTGGTGGAGGCGTATCGCAGGCTTATGCAGGGGAGGAGGGGGGAGGAGGTGTAGTGGGGGTGTGGGGGTGTGGGGAGTGTATATATAGATCTTACTATTGTACTATTTTCTGTGCTGTGGTGCTGGTGTCTTTTGTCAGTTCTTGGTCTCTTGTTCTTGTAGATAAACCTCTAATCACGACCCGTATTTGCTCCGTAATGGTCGCCGTTAACATACAATACCGCTCCCGAGGGAATCGCGATAAGCAATCAGCCCAACCAGCAACTAACCCAGCCGCCCCCAGAAAGCTTTCACAAGAATCATTTCCAGTGCGAGTGATCGCTTGTGATTGACAGCCCTAACCCTAGCTGAAGAGTAGAGGGGCGGGCCATGTCAAATATCACCAAGTCTGGCTGAGAGTTTGGCGCTAGTCATAGGGAGAATCGGCCCGGCTCATACAGTTCTAACCCTTGAGTCGGGCCCTTAATATTACATATGATTCAACGAGATTCGGCTGCACGAGAGTAGCTTGATAGACTAATTGTGTATATGTATATATATTAACTTTATACTTAGAATCATAAATTATCACCAGTACTAACAGTCAGCCGTCGACTATACTCCGTACTTTAGCCCGAAGTCCCACTCTGAGCCTGCTTTCCTGCCTCATCCTCCGCCGCAAGACCTCTGTTCGACGGTCCCATAACACACTTTCCAGTAAGTCCATCAAACCTGGATCCGTGAACTAAGAAAGAAGTCAGTTAGAGTACCTTCCTTTGAAAAAATGGGGCTGATGGATATTAACATACTTGGACAGTCCCAACTCTTCTCCGACGCATTCCATGCAACTACACCATGCAAATGGGGACATATCGCTGAAAACTTGGTGATATTGCCCTCACCATCCTTGTACACCGCAATCGGCTTCCCAAGCTTCGACAGTCCACCATGCATGATCGCACCCGAGCATGGGGGAATTTCCTCAATATCTGACACGTCCGTTGCGATGTACCTCTTGTACTGCAAGTTCTGGTTAAGGTTCTCGCTGATGACATCGGGCATAGTTCTTGGCTTCGGCTTTCTCGAGGGACTGTATAGCCCCGCCCAAGGGTTATCAACACCTTCTATCAGATCGCTCAAAAGCTTTCCAGCAATAACACCATGCGTGAGGCCGTTACCGGAGTCACCAGTGTTGATGTAAACGTTCTTGTCGGAGCCAGTGTTGTGCCCGATGTACGCCATGTAGTCGTTCGGCTCAACGATCTGGCCAGACCACTTGAACTCCACATCCTCAACAAATGGGAAATGTGCGCGTGTCCAGTCGGCAAGTTTTTTGTAGTGGGCTTCGTACCCTTCGGTGCTTTCCTGCCCAACTTTGTGGTCTTCGCCTCCGGTGATGACGTATTCGTACTTTGGATCCGGGTGGGCTGTCTTCTTGACGTAGACGTAAGGGTCGCCGTTGTCGTAGATGAGAATGTCTTTAAAGGCACCCTTTGGTGCCCTCATGGCAACGCAGTAAGTGCGGTAAAAGGCCTCTTTGTTGATGACCTCGATCACGTGTAGCGGGACGTTGGTGGCCATGATCATGTGTTTTGCGTCAATCTCGTGGCCGCCTTCAGTGGTTACTGTGACGCCACTTCCGCTGTCCTTATGCTTTGACATACGGGTGTGGGAGTATGCTTGGAACAGGCCCTTGTGCTTGGTTGATAATGACTTTAGGATTCCGTTTAGGTACTTTGTGGGGTGGAAGGTCGCCTGTTTAGGCCACTCGAGGACTGCCCCGGTGTAGGTCTCACCTATGCTGCCTTTCTCATTGTAGTTTACGTTGATCCCGAGCTTTTTACAGGCCTCGAGTTCTTGTGGGAGATCGTTCTTGGAGGAGTAGTCGGGGTGGCTGTCCGGTACTTCGACAATCTGGTACCCGGGGAGCGTTCGGTACTCACAGTCGATGCCTTCTGCGGCTGCGACTTCACCGACATGCTCAAGTGCGTACTGGTGGGAATCAAAAGCCTTTCTAGCACCGTCTTCGCCGAATGCTACAGGAAAAATTTCAATTAGAGCATATTCTCCCACAGATGCGTCTGGATTGCTTACTTTTGATCAACTCGTAGTAATTGTCATCCAATGCACTACTGAGGTGCCCGGAAGTCCTTCCTGTTTCCCCAGACAGCACGGATCGTGCATCGATGAGTGTGACCGACTTTCCCCTCTTAACACACTCATACGCCGCACTTATACCAGCTATTCCAGCGCCAACAATCAGAACCTCAGTACTGAGGTTTTTGTCCAACTTTGGAAACTCTGGAAAGTTGCTGTAAGGCTCAGTGGCGATCCATACAGGCTGTTTATAGCCCGACGTATGGTCCATGCCATAGTTATCTCTCATTGACTTCTGGTCATCAATCATCGTCGCTTGCTTTGCAAAACCTCTGGTAGTGATATGGGCAGACGTGATTTGAGCTACTCGTGGGGAGAATTTTCGCGCGGTGAAGGTGTGCCGAGTGTTGAGTCTAGCAGCGGTGCGGCGTAGGGCGAACATTTTATCATATAGTAAAACAGTGAAACAGCAGATCGATTGACAGGCAATATCTCGAAGTTATAGATCCCTGGAGTATCTAAGGCTTGATGAGCTCATCGTTCTCCAATGGAATCGACCTGTTGAATGAATGATGACGTTGGCCATCGTGGCATCGTGGAGAGCTGCCATCCGTTCATGCGAGTCTGCGCGGAGGTTTGGTCCGATACCAGCTGGAGGTTTCTATGCATGTACATAACATCGGCAGCCGTGTGCACAGACTGGTCGTACATAGAAGCTACAGCATGGTATCCACACTACTGTTGGGGAGGAAGGCTATCCCCAGACTGCTAGAGAAATCTTCGTCAATCCCCGGAACCTACTTTACACTCAAAGGGCATATTTCACCTACGGAAACTTCCTCAACTGAGCCCGAAGATAGCATCCGGTTTAGAGTACACCGGTAGACAAAGAGAGAAACCGATTGCAGCATCTGTATCAGTGTATCCATTTAGGCGATAAGCAGGAATCGACACCGGGAGCGCTATTCGGTGCGGTAAATACATGTACATGTAGGTACTCTAGGCGTTGAATTGAGGTTGTAGGCAGGGGATGAGTTTCTAATTCCCAGCCTATCATTGGCTCGTTCTGCACAAGCGAATCTCTAGTACCTTGCCCAACGTTTGCCTTGCTAGTATCGTTTCATTTGCGGCCAGCTATCTGGCGGGCCGGCAAAAGAAGGTGGAAGGAGGCTTTTCAGATGTAGTCATTTTTCATCATCGAAAGCGTGAATGATGTTGCATGAAGCAAGTGACGTCATGAGGCTCGGCCGCTAGGTAACGCCAAGACGTTGCACAAGCTCAGGCGAGTCGCCCAGCTAGTCCAACCTCATCTCAACAGACAGGACCTGCGTGAGAGCTTCACGTGTACCTTACAGAGCGCGAGCTCGATTTCACTGAACAACCGCGTATCAAAATTGCTAGGTTTCTATTCCCTCGTTTGCTACGCGGCACCAGAGGCTGTAAGTCGAGTGACTTGTGTAAAGCATGTGCCTGGAGCTATCTAACTAACCAGGCATCCAAAGGGCATCGAAACCACTGTAGCGCAACCCTACCTTCAATGACCTCCAAGCCAGGCGAAAAGCGCAAAAAACCCAGCGGTGAAGTTGACCGCGTCCAACCCTCCTCCTCCACTTCGGGAACCAAAAGCGCATGTTCGTCCAGCTCCCTGAAAGTATGTAGTGGCTCCACTAGTAGCTAATAAAGCCGAGAAAAAGTCACAACCTTGATGAATCGTCCCCCACCACCTCCGCCCCCCGAGAAAAAGCCCAAATATTCCGGCTTCGCCGGCCGTGACGGTCTTGGCGAATATCTGGTAAAGCCAGAGTCCTTCCCACCAACTGTCGTGATAGCGCATAACAGCGCATGCGTGTTCATCAAGGACCTCTTCCCCAAAGCCAGTATCCACGCTCTCCTCCTCCCACGGGACCCGCAGAAGTGCCTAGTGAATCCGTTCGACGCGTTTGAGGATGAGGTGTTCCTTGAAGAGATGAAGAAGCAGGCCGAGACGCTCAAGAAACTGGTTGCCAAGGACCTCAAGCGCCGGTATGGGAAGTTCTCGGAGAAGGATAAGAAGTTCTCGGAGTATGAGCAACGGGAGGCAATGGGGGAGCTTGTTGAAAGTGAGGTGAGGCCACAGGGGAGAGATTGGGAGAGTGAGGTGAAGGTCGGATTCCATGCGGGGCCGAGCATGAACCATCTCCATGTCCACGTGATATCGAGAGATAATTACTCAAGCTGCCTAAAGAAGGCGCTGCATTATAGTATTTTCCCCTTCCTTCCTTCCTTCCTTCACACTCTTCGTCTCACTTGATATTCACTCACAGTGCACAGACTCTTTCAATACGAATTTTTTCGTAAACATAGAAGAATTGCCGTTAAGCAAATCTGAGCGGAACTATAGGCAAAGTAGTGACACTAGAAAATCACAACTGTCGCAGGATTTTGAGTGCTGGAGATGCGGTATGAACTTCAAAAGGTCGTTTGTGAGACTGAAAGAACATCTAGCGATAGAGTTTGAGGCGTGGAAGAAAGAGTAGGATTAGCAACAAACCAGCTATTCTTATTACATGTACTTTATGTTGTACCGTAGAGAGCTCTGCGTAGTAAAAAGAATAGTCGACAGGAAACTCAATTCTCGCCGGGTTTACAGTAACGTAAAAGTGCAGTTCCTGGGTATTTAATTCCTTATAAGGGCACGTTTGTGAACTACCTGAACGGAGCTTAAGACCCAAATGCCCTTATGCAAATAGAAAACTGGTTCAGACCAAAACTCGGTTATACTAACGGGACCCTAGATATTAATCATTTGTGCACACCGGCTGAGATCTTCTATTTGCGGGGTTATGGCTTGGCTCACAGCTACTCACTCTGTCCTCAAAGTGAGACTAGACCACGCTTTGTGATTTGTCTCATTGATTGATTGATTTATCGGGCTTTGGTAGTTACATAGAGAATATCTTGTTAGAAGATATACGACACTGAAACATAAAACCCATCCTATTCATGTTCTGTTGGCCAGCTCTGTGCTTTGCCGTGAAACACAAAGCAAGGTTTGGGGGGGTTTCCCCGCGTCAAGCTTTGTGTACGTAACCACATGCATTCAGTGAGTCGCAGACGCCTGAACCCATACTCCAGCCACCAAACTCTTTTACATCTCCCCTCCATACACAACCGCCGAAATTCGAAAGTTTAAGCCAATCCAAAAGGTAAGTATTTCATCATGTCGTGCGGATGTAGACGCAAACTAACGTCGCCTATCGAATACTAGCCTAATCTCAACTGGATCCTCCCGTGTTGGTCTCGAACCATTAACCCAACATGCTATTGCTGGATCTGCCTAGAGATATTCTTCTTGAGATTCTTGATCGTCTCTGGGAAGACACCCAGGCCAATACCGGACATGAGGAGTTTATAACCGGAGACTGCAGTATGATCAGGGTCGGTGCGACTTGTCGAACTCTTAGGATTGCCGCATTACCTTACATCTACTCTGATCTTTCGTTATCCTCAAGTAAAAGGGCCCTCTGCAAGTTCTTAAATGAGTACAAACATCTTACAGCATACGTTCGCAAGCTCACTTTCTCCCACGTCTCCGCGGGTTTGGATGAGTTCTCTCTCCATGATCTCCTTCGGAGTGTCGTCCTTCATTGCACGGGACTACAGCAACTAAGGATCGAATGTTATTGTGTGACGACTTTTAATTATCCTGCACTTATGATCCTGGGATGGTTACCTTCAGAATCGAGACAGTCACTTGAATATCTAGACATCAGAACCGATTTAGCGGACCTATTGCAGTGTTCCCAGAGGGTTGCAAAATGGTCTGCAAACAAAGATTTTTGTAAACTACAAGATCTTAAACTCTATGGCCATTTTACACCCGAGGCTCATGATGTAATTCCGAACGAGGTGGGCTCGGAAATTCTACCGCAGGTGCGGAAGTTGTGGCTCGAAGTTCGAACCAAAGAACCTGAGCGGGTAGGGGTATACTTCGCAAAAATGTTGCCAAATGTTGAGTCTCTCTACTTGGACATGTCGCGAAAACTGGTCTATACGGTTTTGAGCACCTATGTCGACTTGAAAACAAATATCACCGTACTTCACATCAATGAATCTGCCACTAGCTTTGCCGACATCACGCCCCTCGCAATAGAACCATACCACCTTTGCGAATTAATCCCAAAGTTTTCTCGTAGACTTACCAAATTCACCATTTCAGCCGATATGATGCTTGAGCATTCACCATTCTGTCATCGTTTATTCAAAGACATCGACGATTGGCCATTATTGGTCGAACTCAAGCTCAGAGCCGCGGTGGGATGTGTAGGTTTGAAGCCAGATCTGTTACACTCAGCAATGACAGAGCTTGCACGTACTCATCCAGAAGCAACAATGTTGTTGGAACAGTCAAGCGATATCATCGTTAACTTTAGACCAAAGGGGCCCAAGTATATTGCACCGGTGGAGGTATTCGAAAGACTTTGTACGCAAAGTATTGATCAGCCCCACCCTTACTTCTCCGATGGCGACGAATTCGATGATGATCACGACTTCGACCTTGATATCGAGGATGCAATGGAGGAATACGCTGAGAACGAAAGTTATGAGGATGATTATGAAGTGGAAGAGTATGATGATTTTTGGGTAGCATAGGAGATGTCGATGATGGAAGAAAGTCGTAACTCATGTCATGACCTATCCGAGGTTGCATGTAGAAGTTAGAATTTATTTGCCATTCCTTTTCTAAAGGTCTTTACAGGTGTGGGAGGGATTAGTATGTAGGTTCTTTTTTTATCCGTTTACATGTTTTCTTGCGAGGAAATGAATACATTACATGTTTTTCGTAGGCCATATAGGCCCTTGAGCCTTGGTTTCCACTCCCATATAGAATAGCTTCAGAGTCTGTAATATTGTAAACGTTTGCTCAATACCGATGCATGTATTCTGTCTCATGGCCATCCCTACTTAGGCTCGAGCAGCGAGCTGCTCGCAGGGTATGGGTACATCGAGACTACTTACTAGCTCATCCCCCATTGGAATAGTGTCTAGCATGTATCTATAGTCCCCTTTCATAATTCATTTGCACTCCCGTCCCATGATGAAGAGTAAGGAATCGGGTGGTCTAGTGGCTAGACTGCTCCTCAGGTTAGACACTGAGTGTTTGGTCTCAGGATAACAAAGGCCCTGGGTTCGGGCTAGGGGTGGGGGTAGTAACGTGTTTGACTATAACCAACCGTTGCAGTACCTTTTGTTCCTTTTTTGTGTAAACCGGAGAAAAATAGGTTAGTGATACGTAAGTACTCGAGCAGTATCGAGATATGTTTATCAAGGCGAGTGGACAGGTTAGAATTTTCAGGTCAGTTCTATCCTTGATGCTAGTGAGGCGGGTCAACTTTTAGATCCACAAAGAAAGTTCCGTCAAAATTATCCCCCCGGACCAATTACGTATGTATGTATCCCATAAACCTTTGAGGCAGTGCTGTCACCTTTTTTCTTAAGGCTCAGACGCGGGTGGTGCAGCTAGGCTCCGTCACCTTAGCCATATCTTACACTATCCTTCTGTGATGAGAGGGGTGTCATGCAGTATCATCAGTTTATATGGGATAAATGACATTACAGGAAAATAGGAGCAGCTGGTACAACTCCCGCCAAAAGTTCAAAGTGACATACACTACACACTGAGATCCACCAAGAGACGCATTCAAGCGAGTGACATAGAACACTCACATTGCCCATTTCTTGGCTGCATTCAAGAGGATTCAGTACTTGTATATATATATATCCTAGTCTCGTGCCCACTTCTTGGAAATAGCCATTTTTGGTGTTGAAACTTCCAATCGGGAACAGCCCCCAAGTTCCAATAGGGATTTAAGTAAGATAATGGGGCCACTAGTATAACTTTTATACCATTCGAGATGTGTAGGCAATGTTGCCTTAAATACAGGGCTATTTATCTGGATTTTAGATCATTGGCAGGGCCATTTTGTCTTGGCAACACGCTAGGTTTTCGGCAAGTTCTATTTTCACCTTTCACGTTGAAGGATCATTTCGATCGATGTACCTACTACATACAGCTCAGTCCAAAACTTGCGTCTGGATTCCTCAAGAATACATTGTGGGTGTAACATAGCCTTGTCGTACAGGTAGACGAGGTCTACGCGAAGATAAAACCAATCATTACCCATGGTATCCCTACCTAAGATATCATCATTTGTCTAAATATGCCGGAGAACATGGCGTTGGCATGATACGTGCGATTGGTTGTGAATCGAATTGGGAATAAGCAACGAGTTCCAAATCATACGTCCTTGTACTTCAAGGCCATGTCGGCCTCCAGGCACTCAATTTCTTTTGGCCCATCTAGCTCCGGAAAGTGACTTGATCTAGCGTTATTTGTGTTTCCTATGTATAAAGTTCGTGCACGTCGAGGCCTCTTCTAAAAAGATGGTGCACTGACTGAGGGTTGACAGCAAAATTTCTCAGTGTTACGGAATACAGCTGAATATCCTATTGTACTTCTATCGGTGGACCACTCCTATGATTCTGGACCTTTCAGCATTGTATGTGTTCAAATATCTACCAGACAAATGATGCTTGAGTGAAATAAAGTAAATACATGCAGCCTAAAAATATATGTATGCTACACTTCTCCAGACCAACACACCAAGCGAATAGGAACCTCTGAGAAAAGATTATGGAACGTTCGATCTGATCGGTTCCAACGAACTTACATAACGTTTCCAGAGTTACAATCCACATGTCTTTGGAGAAAAAGTAAATATATGTCTTCCAAAACATGTAGTTCCATGCAAGCCTTCTGTGACGATTGGAAAAAGCTCAGCCTCACTTACTAATATAAACGGGTCTAATACTTTTAAAGGAAGGCTTTCATAACCCCGCCCTTCCAGGATTTAGGCTCATATCACATTTTCAAAGATTCTCCTTCATCAAAACTTAGACTATTAAGGTATAGTTGACCAACGGGCAAAGTAGTAGGTTCGTGGACGACCGTTTATTACATACGAGAAACAATGGTTTCCAGTTTTCATACGCCTAATACTCCGCTATACCAATTGTAGTATGCCTCCGGCCTGTAGAGAATAGACTTGTATATAAGAAAGCTACAAGCAGGGCCTACTCCCATTTTAAACTCTGGGATATCAACGAACGACCGGAACCATGAAGCTTTAAACCCAAAATCTCCGTTTTATGCTATCTTTTGTACTCCTGACCTTCAGCACTTGTCAGGAGACCGAGACCATACCATTTCCCATCACAAAAACCTTAACTAAGGGAGAAACTCCCGTAACGGTTACCCTAGCAGGGGGAGGATATGTAATATCATGGATCGTTTCGGAGGAAACTACCTTGGGACCAGCAACGGCTCCACCCTTTGTTACTGCTGCCACAAACGTTGTCTTTGCCAACGAATTAACCACCTTGACGATTTTCTACAGAGGGGGTGAAGACCTACCTCCATCAGTATTTGTCATGACAAAAGCCACATCGTGGACAATAGCTATAATACCATACACCGAACCGGACCCCAGAGAAACAGAGACAGAGGAATATCCTCTTTACACTCTGAAACAACCACCACCACCACCAACGCACAACCCAGACCACGCATACACAACTACAGTAAGAAGCCATCATTAGACATTGAAATTAAACTTAGAATATATGGAGAAGCTTATGGTTCTGGTAGCCCGAAAGCACCTACACCTACGGATGGGAAGACTCGGACATAGATACGGATGGGAGCGATATCGGCCCTACCGGTATCTACATTTGGTTGCTGGCTGCCCTTGGCGGATTCATCGTTTTTGGTTTAATATTTATCTGTTGTTACCGTAAATCACCGCCAGCGCCAGAAGCACTGCCGCCCTACGACCTTGAGGGGAAAGACGCGGGAAAGACAAATACTGATAGGCCAGAAGCACCGCCGCCCTACGACCTTGAGGGGAAAGACGCGGGAAAGACAAATACTGATAGGCCAGAGGTTATTATCTGTTAGTATGGACGATGGGGTGACGTTGGCTTTTATGGATCATGACGACAACGACGATGGAATATTTTATTAGTTGTATTTAACTGCACTGCTCTCTTACAGCGCCACCCAAGCTGGCGTTTGATAGCTCTTCGAACTCTGACGGTACAAATTCTACATTGTACAGTACATGTAGCTTTCTTGTTTTCTTGTTTTTCTACTGCAGTTCATGGGTCATCACTCGTTTGTATTAAAAAGAAACTGCACTTAAAGTACCTGCAGGAAACGGAGGTCCAGAACCCCGGCCAATAAAACACAAACTATAAAGTCCCAGATAGGCATGATCTGCATCCAACAAACCTTGGAACATATCTGAAGCACCTTGGTTTCATCGAATGATCCGGGGTTATATCTGTTTTATATTCTCTATAGCGCCGTACAGTATCATAGTCTGAAGGCTACGTGAATGAACGTATGAATCAAGTTCACCCAGACAAAATCTTCACAAAGAATCACTCGCGCGCTAGCGACGCTAACCGGCTCCTACTATTCAGGCTAACTATATTCGGTAGTAGAAACTGTTTATTAATATAGTTGGCCCCACAGTCTAGGACCTAAAGTAAATCATGATAAACCGTGCAGGGAAGGCATTCTACAGATCCAATTTGATACAAACTCAGGGACACGTCAAGTCACACAGAGAGAGCGAAAAGTGCAAAGTATATGCTTTCCAAATATTGTTATAGACTCTTCCAGACTACATACAGATATCCAAGTACCTAGTAGGTAGTTATTGATGACCTTCATAACAAAAAAAGGTGAAAATTACTATCACAAAGAAGATAAATTACGCAATGCGCAACTAAACATAGGGAAAAAAAAAAAAAAAAACTCCACCCCCCGAGGATAAAATAGAACGTAAAGAAAAAGATAAAACGGTAAAGAGAGATATCAAAAAGGAGTGAGGAATCACAAAATCTTCCCTTGTTGTTTTTTGTTTGTTGTGCACATCACCAGCCCCAACCTAAACCCCCTCAGATTAACCCGAAAAAGCAACCCCAGACATCCAGCCGTGAATATGAAGGTAAGACGAAAACTAGAGCAGAAGCTGGACCTCCGGCCAGGCTCAACAACCCCTAACCCCTTACATAAAAGCCGCCAAATTTCTCGTCATCATTCTCCTTGATGTTGTTTCTGTAGTTGTGACGGTCAAGTTGCCAACATCACACCAGTTGCTGACCGGCAAGCAGCTGAGATACTTGCACCATGTGCACTTCTTCTCGTACTTGTAAAAGTTGTTGATCAAGACAATCATCACGATGAGTGCTGCTGTTAGGGCGGCTGCACGGGCAATCCAGAAAGCCCACCAGAGTGGCTTGCGGCCCTTGAAGAATCCGGTGGGAGACTTGATGAAAACAGATGCACTGTGTCCCTGTGTGGCAGATGAACCTCCCTCTGTATTGGCGCCGTGCATGTATGCGGGGGTCATCGGGGTGTATGGTGGGTCGCCGGCACCAATCTTTCGGCGGAGATTGACTGGAGAGTGGAGAAGAGCGATGCCAAGGATAAAACCCATGAGAAAGCCACCGATATGGGAGAAGTTATCGAGCCCTGGAAGAAGACCGATGGCAAAGCCAAGACAGATATCAAGAAGGAGGAAGAGTAATTCCTTCATTGGTGACTGCCGGTTAGTCCAGTTCCAGAGAAGATCCAAGAGCATGAGTGCGATTATGCCAAAAAGAGAACCGGAACAGCCACTGTAAATAGTTAGTGGGATGAAAGGTAAGACATTATTCTAGGGTGAGACATACGTTGAAGGTACACCGTTCGGAGCGAAATTGCCGCCCAGAACAAAGCCGAAAATCCCCGACGCAAAATAGCACAATGCGAATCTAATGGGACCAATTTCGCGTTCCATATCGACTCCAATTCGAAGCTGGAATAACATGTTAAAGCCAATATGAATAATCCCTGCGTGCAAAAACATAGGCACAATGAAGCGCCACCATTGATCGGGCTCCTTGCTCGACGATTTCCCACCCAGATCTTTTGGAATCTCATCACCCCCAAAACCACACCATTGCGAGAGAGTGCAGTTATTGTCGGCGACGTTATTTGTGGTCGCCGTGGGGCACGGAAAGGTGAGGGCTATATCCACATGATCGGTGACACCTTCGATAAGCTTCATGCAAGGTACAAATCGCGCACCCATATTGATGAGTACATTTGTTGAAGGCCCAATCATAGGGTTAACCTGCGGCTTGATCATAATCGGACTTCCGGTTAGGATTGCATTACGCGCAATCTCGGCAATGAATACTGAAACCTGGATGGTAGATATTATCCAACAGAACCATGGTCTCTTGTGAGTATTATTCATGAATGGTGCCTGTTTTCGCTTCGGTTTCTTCCCACCCATCATCCCCATCTCCGCTGCAGAAGCAGGCATGGGCGGCGGGTAATTCTGGTAATTCTGGTAATTCTGTGGCCGTGTGTCATGCAAAGGGATTCCATCATTGTATGGTTGTTGCTTATCATAATCGCTGGAGTATGAGTTGTTGTGCGATAGCCCGGGGGGGGAGTGTGCGGGCGGGTGGTACGACGTATCTACATCAATGGATTGCGACGAGTGGTGACGCCCGTAAAAGTCATCTGTGTAACCGATACCGCCGTGGGTAGGTGGAAATGTTGGCTGACTAGGCAAAGGCTTATTGATGGGCGAGACTGTTGAGTGTGAAGGCGCAGGCGATGAGGAGGGATGAGGAGGGTTTTGGTTCGGGGGGAAATTTGTGTTGATTGGCGCTGGGCCAGAATTGTAGTACTCAGCGGCCGACATTCTGACGTCGAGCGAGATGAAGTAAGAATATGGTATGTTCCTTCCCTTTCTTATTCCTTGATGGGTAAACGCAACGTAGCTTTGTTGCCGATAACTATGATGATGAAAATGAAAGAAGGCTTAGAAGGGGGGGGGGGGGGGGGGGGGGGATGTAGGCAGCTCTTCTATCTAGGGTAGCAGAGGTAGGAACTAAAACTACAGGGTACCTGGGAGTCGTCAGCGTTTAGATTCCAAGATGTTGCGCAACCAATCACCGACGGCCAACTTGAGACAGGAGTATGGGACTACCGAGAATTGTGGAGGGACGAAATAGGTAGGAAGTAGATACAGGGGGGAGATATTGGCAACAAGACTTAAATATATTCTACTCCAACAGTAGGTATGCAACATCGAAATCAAGTCTTGAGATAGAGGGGGGACAGCTGATGGGAGGATATCTGCTTACTTCTTATTTCTCCAGAGTAATTGTATGTAGCTGACACACGATGTGCTCGTTACACGATATATTCGACACACGTGAGTCGTAGAGGTGACGGATTAAAGAATGCAGTTGACCTGGAAGACAAACAGTAACAGTCAAGTGACAACCAAAGTCTTTTTCAAGTGTGTCGTCGAAAGAGAACAAAATGGCACCTACAGTTCTCTGGGTGTCAGTGAGATATAAGTACATGTATTTCGACTGGAGCCCCTCACCTGGCCCGAGTAGCGATCGACAAATTCAATAAGTAAACGCACTGCACAGTTACGTTGTGCAGACAGGGGAGGGAATGTATGGTAGAGGAAGGAATGGAGCTGTCGAAAGACAGCAAAAGAGAGTGGTGATAGAGAAAACGCGCGAGGTTTCCCTTGTCCAGGCTCCCTTTTCCTAGTCGCCTGCCACAGCAACGGGTGACTGACTCGCGTCCATTAACACAACGCTACCCATTTCTAGCAGAAGCTTCCCTGCCTCCCGATTCGCAGCCTGGCGGTCGGTCGGGCTGTGCAAGAGAGAGATGGCCCTGACTAACTGCTCTAACTTAGTCCTGAAATGCCAAAAATAACTGCACTTTCGTCATTACAATCACATTGTTTGTTTGACAGGAGGCTGAGGCTGAGCAGTCCACTGAGCATATGCATAATTGAATCTATCCCCCTCCTACGTTAGAAAAACAAAAATACATCATTCATACATATACTCGTAGTTTTTTGACGTTTCCGGACGCGACCACTATTGCATGCCATACAAAAGATAGCCTTGGCGGGTTTTTTCTGTGTATGCAATAGCAGTTGCGTCCGGAAACGCTGTGAAATTGCGAGTAGAGCTGTTCGGCCTGCCGCTCTTCCGATCCCTCAACGGTTTTCCTCACCGTAACTAAGGCAGCTGCTACTTGCTGTGCTGGATGTAAATAAGTATTCTTTGCAAACTTTGAACGCTTTGTTCCCAGCGACATATCGTGCCAGGTACCGCTCTACCGTACTCAGTACTACACCACATATGCAACATCCCCTGTGCTCCTTCAACTCCTGATCTCCCTCCCACACACCCCCAACCCCCATCACTCGAGTGGGAATCAATCTAGAAGCTTTTTTTCTTCGGGACTTTTCTAGAATAGAACACATCGCTCAAACCAACCAGGTGTCCCAAGCTAAACCTAGAGCTTGAAAACGTCCATTCACAAACATTGGACCGATGGACTCGCCAATACTCTCGCCAACGGGTCCACGTCACCGGAAAACCCGTTTATCCTGTCGTCGAATCGACAGGTTATGCTGTAGTCTCTTGTGCTATTTCCCTCTTGTTTTTATATCCGGAGTCTCAACATGGGCCGTGTACACCTACTCTTACAGTATCTGCTGGAATAATATCGCTGGAGCCAAAGGTACCGCATTATCCCCCCATGCCGAAGAGCCTCCTCTTCCTCGGAGATCGACATTGTTCCCCGGGGATTGTCTGCTGATCTCACGGACCCCTTAGGCATTTTTCTCTCTTTCTTGGGCCTAACCCTCTATTTTCTCTTAAACTGGTCCTACTTTACGGCTGTCTTTACGAACCCGGGCTCACCACTTGATAATGTGACCACCTACTCACTCCCTTTGTCTTTTGAAGGAAACATCTAACAATCCTTAGAAACACTCTTATAGTTCCCTCCCAACAACCGAGACGTCGACCAATTCTTCCATAAGTGTTAAATCGTCCGGACAAGCCCGCTTCTGCAAGAAATGCCAATGCTACAAACCAGACCGCACCCACCATTGCAGTTCATGCAAGACCTGTGTCCTCAAAATGGACCACCATTGTCCATGGCTCGCAAACTGCCTCGGAATGTTCAATTACAAAGCGTTCATGTTGTTTCTGATTTACACCTCCGTATTTTGCCTTCTTTGTTTCGTAGTTAGCTCAGCATACGTCTACGAGGAGCTATTGAGTTCAAATGCAAGCAGTAAATACCCGGTTGATGACTTTACGCCCGTAAACTGGGTGCTGCTGGCAGTACTTTCGGGCATTATTGGATTGGTACTGAGCGGATTCACCATCTGGCATCTCACTCTCGTAGGCTCGGGGATGACAACCATTGAGTCTTTGGAGAAAGTGCGATACACAACGCCAACCCTTTCGCGTAGTGGAGTTCCAGCGCCTGGCGCACACCATCTCTACGACAACCCAGAAAATGACCCAACCTTCGACTACGCCGCCGAGCGAGAGCACGAGCGCGAACAAGAGTTCCGTCGCTACAACTCCTACATCCTCGAGGAATCCACCAAGAAGCTTCCCCATCCATTCGATCTCGGTAGAGCGCGCAACTTCCGCTGTGTATTCGGCCCACGGGAAGAATGGTGGAAGTGGTTCATCCCGCGCTTCTCGGGCGTTGGAGATGGGTGGAACTGGGAAACGAGCAATGAATGGCGCATCGCTGCGGAAGCTGTAAGGGTTGAGAGGGAGCGTATGGGGCTTGACCAAGGCGATGATGCGCGATCAGGATGGCCCGGCGCAAACCGACACCCAGCTGAAGGAAGGACTTGGAACGGTGGTAATCCGAATGGGCTCATCCGCCATGCGGGCGAGATGAAGCCGAGCAAGGCAGAAAGGATATTAGGGAAGCTACCGGGTACATATAGTGATGGGGAAAACGTACCGCTGCAAAGAATGAACCGGTCTCCGGATGATATCAGTAGCGATGAAGAGGACGACGAGAGGATCGACCTAGAGACTGGATTAGCTGTTGGAAGAAAGGCCAAGATGGAGCCCAGGAGCGCTGGAAGTGTAGGCTGGGCAACTTGGGGGGGTGACAGTTCCGAGGAGAGGTGGTAGGTGTAGTAGTTGTTGAATGGGGGATGTTTCAAGTACAAAAATCTTTCCTATGGGTAGGTGGGGCGGCTGTTGGCGACATCATTTGCGTTTGGCGTTTGTTTGTTACTTTTTTCTGGTATTATTATTATTTTTCTTGTTTCTTGTTTTCTCTGACATGATTAGTAGTGAGTGAGTGACTCTTGTTTTATATCAATCTCCTTTTGTACCAATACCCCAAACTTAAAATGTTATGTAGTTAGTCATGTCAAGTATGTTTGAAGGCCAGTAAGTAACGGGTAGAATACCGGGATATTTTAGTGACCGGGTTTTTTTGTATTCATATCTGTTCCCATCTTCTCTCTTTTTCTCTCTTTCTACTACCACAAAGATTAAACCCCTTGCTCTTTTAGGGCTTGCTGCTAGAAAAGGTACGTATGTACTTACAAAACACACTACTATCTTCACATAGATTATCTACTCCATACCTCTTGACGACGTCGTGGTGGTAAGTAGTATCTCGCCAGGATCACCGCACACAGGGGTCCGCTGATAAGATAATGCTACTCTACATATGCGCCATGCCATGCACCTACCGTGGCGGAGCAACAGGACGAGTGATACTTCAAGACGCAGTACGCGCGTCCGAAAAAATCTTTTCAGTAGATGGTACATGTAGATACACACACAGTTGGCAGTGCAGTGCAAGCCAGGAGGGATTTCTATATGTATATTGGTTGTCAAAAATAAACTACCTCTGTGGATATGTAGGCTACAAGTATTTATCCTTTATCGAAGTTTCTTTTTTATCGACTTTTGCGGTTACCTGTCCGTGGAGTGGTAGATGTGGTAGATGTGGCGGAGTGGGCCTGACTGACTGACTGACTGACTGACAGGCAGGATGACCCGGTTTCTGGAAGGTTCTGCCTGCCGAGTGATAGATTGAGCTGTCTCCAGACGTAGCCGATAGTTCTTCCCTATCGGAGCAGTCTAGTCTATCGCGAGTACAAGAGGTAGTATGTATCGACTTCTACCTTGCTGTTCACCGGCTATTATTATATATTGTTTGCTCTCGGGTTCTACATAAACTTTGTCGCCACTCAATATCGGTCATTGATGCACGCCATATTACATGATAATGGGAGCTCTGATACTGTAGCTACTGTAGCATGATGCTTGATGGTTCTGGACTCGTGGGGAGTAGATCTAGTGGTGGAAATGGGGGTGTTTTGGGGTTCGATGTGTTTTCAAAGCTCATAGCTTGAGTATCATTCGTTTGTGCTATGTATATGTAGTTGTATTCGAAATTTATCGTTGATTCTTTCGCCTCGGAGTTTTGGAATCTACGGACACATAGTTTCCGTTATATCGTTTTCCTATCATACCTAAATCGTTCTATCTGATTTCTCCAAGTTTTTCTTGAGCCAGCTAGTTGTTCTAGAAGGTTCCTGTATCCACCAGGCTATCTCCAGGGAGTGTTCATGGAATTAGGCTAAGGAGATCCTAGGTTGAGGCTAGCACGAGTTGGCCAGACCCGAGTGAGATTTCATGAAGACGATTCCCGCAAGATGTTTGTCGCGATCCAACTACATAATATACAAGCATTTTCCGGCCTTTGGCCGGAGTAGGAACTGTTATGGCTTAAACAATATCAGTTTACCAATGCTTAAGATCACTGAAACCCCAAGATGCCCTGTGCACATATCTGATATACTATTTGGTTGACTCAAGGTATGTTGGAACCAATATCTACTGGCTGACTCAAACATATTTGATAGAATATCTAACTCCAACATATTTGATAGAATATCTACTTACTGACAAACATATTTGATAGAGAAAAAGAAAACCCCCAAACCTGGCCAATCAAAACCTTTAAATAACACATTGCATATCGGTATATCTATATACTTATTAGATATTGAAACATTAACAGAGAGCGAACGCGTCGTCCATTTTTTGACTCTTTTTTTTTTCTTAAAGCCGAAAGTGATTGTTTCTCTCGCCCCGTCCATTCTCAGATTATAATAGGTCATCCAATCACGCCACTACCTCTCCTCTCAAAACCATCCTTTCTCTTAAAACACTCAATCCCAGTCGCGCTGTTGTTTACACCGCCCCACGTGACCACGCCAGCGCGCCAAACCGATCGGCCTGTGCGCTACCCCTTCCGGCGCTGCAGCCCAATCCAGGCACTCCCGCTCTGAAACCAACTGGTGCCTAGCTTATCGAGAGTCATACCGCACAAAAATGGGTTGCCTGAACTATGGAGAGTGTATATATAACACTTTCTTTACCTCTGGGCAGTTAGATCCATCAAGAATTCACCTTCTTAATTTACATCCAGCTAGCTAGCCAGTAATTCATCCAGCTTTTGTCGACTTTATAAAACCTTCAGCTTCTCGACACCACCTCATCAATACTACCTACATAGTACTTATAATCTTTAATTTTCCTCTACACTACACTACACCGCAAACATGCTCGGTCTCTGTGGAGTCGCCGCCAGCGTCGTCGCCTCATCTGCCGCTGGCGCCGGTGCTATCGCCGCCATCCCCGCCGCACTGGGTGCCGTCGGGTTCGGAGCTGGAGGTGTCGCTGCCGGTACGTTATTTCCCCCTCCACCTCCCATCATTCGATCCCATCCTCATCCCTCTCAGTCCCTGTCAACCACCTCTCACTGTAACCACAAATACTAACGCCCCACAGGCAGCGCAGCAGCAGCAGCACAGGCAGGAATGGGCGGCGTCGTAGCAGCGGGCGGATGGTTCGCCACGGCCCAGAGCGTGGCGATGGGGGGTGCATTGGCGTTGACGTTGGGGACTGTGGGGACTGCGCTTGCGGCAGGGGCGGGGGTTGGGGGGGCGGCGATTGCGGCGGCGCATGTGGTTGGGGTGTTGTGTTAGTGGCTTTCTTGAGGTTAGCGGGTGCGGGTGCGGTTCTTTTTAGTGCTTTTGGGTTTGGTTAGGTTTTTTATTTATCAAAGGGATTCTTGAAATTTGAGTGTGTAACTGTGCGGTGTGGTTTTGACAAGCTTGCGACGCAGTGAATCGGGTTCTTTAGCCTATAGTTAGATAGAACTACCGTCGTTGGTGCGGTTCGACCCTAAAATACATGTAGCTCTTCTTTCTTGCAGATGTGTTTATCCCTATGGCACAATTGTTTTGGTGTAAACGGCATAAGTTATCACTCGTGGGGAGGATAAACAGGGACCCAAATTTCCGCTTTGGGACGTAAAAGATAAGTAACGGCCATATTAGGATATCGTATGCCATTTGAGGACATTTTAGGCTCAAAGTGGTCTAGCTCAATGCTGTTTAATTTCAAAATTATATATCCTTTCTAATAGGATATAGTCAGATTATGATATTGAATTTCATCGTGAGGTTTCTCCTCCCCACCAAATTATCTCTAAATTCATCAACCAGCATCCAATTCCATCAACAGCATCTTCAGTTCATCTCCTTCAGTGATGGGCTTGTAACAGTTAGGAAATACATTTGTTCAAAGAATAACATGCACATGAGTCTGGCGAAAGCGGGCATGGGCGAGCTATACCACGCCCATACCCGCCTCTATATGATACTGATTATGATGATGGTGATTATGATGGTGATAGATGATCATGATGATGCCTACATGTACATGTAGGCATTCGGGACTTAGACGTTTTCACACAGGTGTGCCTACTAGTACTGTCACGCAGGTCTAATACTAGTACTGTCACGCAGGTGTGCCGTCCCCGCACTGCTGTCACACCGTTGTGCCGTCCCCGCCGCCCTTGCGGCCTCTTGCGGCCTCCTGCCGCCTCCTGCCGCTTCCCACTAGTAGGTATCCTTTCTCAGTGATTAGGGTCCAGTTACCCAATTTTTGCGGATAAGACCTCCTCTCTCAGAGGATACCACAGTATGTGAAAATGGTATCCTATTATCTTTGATAAGTTATCTTTTTAAAATTGTACCATAGGTTTATTGTTTATCTGCGAGAACTTAAACAACCTATTAAGGGGTTTGAGCTTGTGTTAGTAGACTAAAACCTCTTTTCGTAAAAAAAAAAAAAGAAAAAAAGTTAAAAGACAAAATAAAAGGAAAGAAAGAAAGGAGCTAATGCTACTTCCAGCAGCTACAGCGAAAGCTTGCTATAACGGTACCTTCTATAAGGGTAATCTCTCTATAACGGTAGCACTTCTCGGTCCTTTTTGCCCGGATTTCAGCACAATCACCTCTTATATAAGGGTAATCTCTCTATAACGGTACCAAATTCCGGTCCCGAGCGTACCGTTATAGCAAGCTTTCGCTGTACATACATAACCGTGGAGACGTCGGGTCGAGTGACATATTGTGATCGAACGCTCACACATACCCGCAGATATTTTTGGCACCTTTGATGCATGAGTGCTATCTTGTATACCGTCCAATCATGCTGGAATATCGGGCGCATGGTGCTGGGAAGATATCTCAGCATATGATTCCCGTAAAGAGAAACGAGTTGCCGTGCTGGCGAACCGTAGGAGGTCCAGACCACAGATTTGATGGAGAGAAAATGGGGGTCATATGCTGTGTTGGTGGAGAGTAATACAGTCGGATCGCCCTATAAGGGTACCGTAAGAATTGAGTAGTTTTTTTGGGTGCATTACCCTTAACCCGTCAATTGCTGACCCCGGTGATAAGGGTTGGGTTTGTATGGGAGATCTATTATTTGATAAGAAAGATAAGAAGATCTGTTAGTAAAGCCACACCAAATTTGCGTGGGTCAGCACTTTGGTGACGGTTTAAGGGATAGAAAAGGTAGGTGCAGAAGTGATGACGAGGTAGTATTTTCTTCTGTGCGCGTACTTGTCAACCTACTTAGTATAACTAAAAAGTAATCTTCTCTACTTTCTAAACTTCTGTACCTGTTTATTAGTCTGTATCCCCTCTATCCGTTGTGGGATGGCCATTCAAAGTTTCACCGCTCCCCTCCGCTCCGATCCCTCTACTCCCCTATGCTATCCTAACCCTAACCCTCAATCTCTTATAAGGGTT